TTATGTCAGTGACCAACCACAAAGTCTTAAATTCAGTTAAAATGCATCCGGAGATTTTGATGCTTTTCAACCTCTCCAAAAACCATGTGCCCAAACAATTCGCCAACTTTGTTCCTTACACCCACTTATTATTACCAAATTTTTCTGTAGGAAAGAGAAGGAAGAGGAGACAGACGTCATGTAGAACAAGAAGAGAAGGACAAAACTTTGAATGAAAAGATTTCCTCTACTCAATACAACACTTTTTAGTACACACAGCTAGAAAAATACAATAAAGATAATGGAATACGTAATGGGATTTCTCTTTTTACGGAAGGCATCACAGTAATCTCACTCGCCACACAATTAGCACACTAAAACAACAAGGATTTGACCAGTTTAAATCGTTGTGGACCGTCTAAAAAGTTTCAAACGCAGAAGCGACAATGAAGAGAAATATATAAGCCTATCCTAGCCTGAAAGAACTATTGTCAAAAACAAAATCCTTGGACGCCGTCTTGACATCAACAAGCAAATACAAAAATTTTAAATAGCTTGCTATAGTCGTTCAAAAAGGTAAAAGATATTGGGAACGTATCAAAAGAACAGGCATTGTATGCAAAGAAACCAGCTGGTTAATACTACCTCCTGAGGAAGACATTGATTATTGGAAATGACCTTCACAGTCCGCAGACTTGTAAGAATTATGTATGTCGCGTTGTTGTAGACTTGTGATGATCTATTGTTCCTTACTTTTTGTTTATTTATCTTTTGAATTAATAGAATTTAAAATTTCACTGATTTTCAACTGAGCAGAAATTATGAAAATGACACGGAAATTTGGTGCTCAAATTTTTTCGTCGAAATTTCCTCCCAGTTAATGTCACTGTACTTCTTAACTCTAGTAGTTGGCAGTTATTTAACTTGATTTATTTTTAAGTAGTGTAAGACATGGTTGTTTTCTTCTGTATTGGCTCGGTGGAAGCTGATTATAAGCTTCTGCCAAGTCTTTGCCGATCTAACGAATCAGAATGTCTACTTCTTAAGGATGACATATGACATTAAGTCTTTACATACTCTGAAGCTACTCAATACCTCTCGACATCGTAGTGATCATTCCATTTTTATCCTGTGTGTTGGTTTTTTTCGCCTTTTAAGTCATCAGCAATACAATCGACGGACAAACCAATCAGATTTAATGTAGCTCCCGTTGAATTTTCGTGCTAAATTCATTTATCCATTCAGATGTATAATTCTTTGACATTATAGCTAACTTATGTTCGCAATGAAAACTTACTCTACTCATCATAATCCCTCAAACTAATTTACAATCGTATTTACTATGTAGTGAGTGACTGAATTTTCCCTAGATCCCTTATATCACCCAAACTCCATCTACAAACTGTAGTCAACCTTCATTTTCTCTTAGTGGCAAAACTCATGAATATTTGCTACCTCATCAATTTATCACCATCCCTACCTAGTGCCCTATCCATAACCCAATCAGTTCTGATGACAGTTCCATATACAAAGCTAGCGGTCCTCACAACACTCAATAAAATCTTGTTGGTACTTAGGTTTACTTTTTTTCTTTCCTCTAATAACGATATATTCCAAATCCAAAAGCCGACTTATTGACTGCTAAACGTTGCTCATAAGTTTTAAACAATTCGACTCTTAGTCCGAATTACCAAAAAGGATTTGGAATTAAGCTTGTGCATCAATAAGGTTCTTCGTTAGATTTAATTCTATTTGCCATGCTTACCATTTTTTCAACAACTCTCCTCCTACTAGATTCTGTCATCGATTGAGTGGACTGTCGCCACTGAATTCATACTACCTTAACGACTAAGTGGCTACAGACTAAAAGCCCATTTATTGATAGTAAACATTAATTGCATCACATTTTATGACAATCTACATTATCTACCTCGCGGTATTATGTGTGAGAGTTAGCGCATGGGATTCTGGAGAACTCCAAATGTTTGATTTAGTTGAAGAAGTCAAGGAAAATTTCTATGATTTTCTTGGAGTTCCTCAGGTAAGGGAGACGATAACTATTTAATGATGATACATCTACAGACTGCTGATATTCCTGAAATAAAACGTGCTTATCGAAAGTTGTCCACAAAACTCCATCCGGACAGGAACCCAGATGATCCTACTGCAGAACAGCAGTTTCGGAGGCTTGTAGGTATTTATGAAGTCCTTAAAGATCCGGAGTTACGTGCTAAGTAAGTATTTCAGAGGATGTTCCCTAACTTTTCTTAGATATGATGAAGTGCTAGTAAATGGTTTGCCCAGTTGGCGAACCCCAGTATTTTACTTTAGGAAGCTCCGCAAAATGTCTAACTACGAACTTTTTGGATTGTTTTTCGGAATGGCTACCGTAATTCATTATGCAGCACTTTGGGGCTCAGTTTTTGAAAAGCGGCTTACTTTGGTATGGAAGTTCACTCATTTTTTTACTGTTTAGGAAGATCAACTCAGCACTTCTTTAAAACGTCACAAAGCCCGCGATCGAAGGTTGGAACTAATAAACCAAGAGATATCAGATGAACTTCGGAAGATTCCTGGTCCTGGATGGCTTGATTTGCTGCCGTTCTCTATCGTCAGATGGGTACATGCTATCATCAGATTTATCCCCATTCTCGTTGAATTCATTAATGAGAAGGTTTCCGAGAAAATAAAGGAACGTCGTGAACTAAAAGAAGAAGTTCGAAGTATGTTTTTACAGATTCTCTCTATGTTTATAAAATAAAGCTTTTAAACATGTGTCAGCGCTGTGTCTTCAACGCGAAACTTATTTTTCCTTAAATTACAATAAGCAGAGATTAATTAATTGTTGCATCTCTAATTTCTTATAGTGAGCAAAACTAAATTGGTTTTCGAATAATGTTATCATTCCTTAGTTATCACAGTAAATGTTAAGCAAACATAGCAAGATAAGATAGCTTGGCTAAAGTTAGAGCAAGTAAGCTGTTTGACCTGAAAAACTTTATCTGTTTCTAAAATGTAAATTAACACCGTTACTATACAAAAACAAATTAATACGATTTATTAGAGAGAGAAAAGAGCAACATAAAAGTCATACCGAACAGTAACTGCAGGACAGGAAAAATAATTCAATATCGTTTATGACAAACATAAAAAATTATGATTGGTGAATTAGCTAAGCATAGTAATATAAGGTCAAGGAGAGTTAACGTAATGATGGGCTTTCAACACTATCATTGGTGGGTTCGTTTGTCAATCATATCTTACTCATGGTTAGGACGAGGTTTGATCCAACAACTGTGGCTGAAAGTCGAATGTTAAGCTGGGGCACTATCAATTTTATGGTAAGACTTTCCACATAAATAACCACCATATTAACCGTCTTGATTCCTTCTTGCTCTGTTGACATTTATCAACCTGAATTGAAACACATTACATGTGTTGTGTTGTTCGTTTATCCGTGTCAGTCAGGCAGTCAGTTACAACGTAGAACTTCGTACGTAAGTACATCAGTTCAGGTTGCCATACCATATTAGCATAGAGACGCAACTGTCAGTTCAAATCACATAGTGGTTGAGATAGTAGAAGTATTACTGGTAGTGGCGAAGATTAGGATTTGAACATATTACTCAAGAAGTATAAGTCAGTGAGATAAGTTTAGAAAGACAAAGGTAGAAGTGTTGACGGATCCAGAAGATTATGATTTGGGAGAACACAACGAGTGGATGCACCTACGCCATTGCAAACGATTTTGAACCATGTCGTTTAAGGTCTCTAACCATCAGTGACTTTCGTCTCGCAGACCCCAACCAGGTAGCACACATCTACCAACATGACTCAGTCCACTTGTCAGTGACTTCATGTTTTGGTCTGGCCGCCCCTAATTTTCTTCCAGCCTAAACCCACACCACAAAACACAGCTCATCGAAGTAGTCGGTGGTTAAGCATACACAACACATGTCCCGACCACCTCAACTGATGAAGTTTCAATACCTCATCTATTGATTTGCCATCCCTACCTAGTACCCGTTTCCTATCGACAGCATTGCCTACTTAGTTGTCCCACGATAAACTAGCAATGCTTCTAAGACATCTATGATCGAATACTAGTAATGATGTTGTTAATGTTGATGTTTTATCTCTTTACATCTTAGTTCTTCAAGAAAAAAAAGAAAAGCTTAAGGCCGATAAACAAGAACGTAAACGTCGCTTAGTACACGAGCAAGCAATCCTTAAAGAAGTTGTGAAGGAGGCTGGCCAATCAACTTTAAATTCAGTGCTCACAGATATCCCTAATATTGAAAATGAAAGTTCTGATGATGATTCAAAAAGTAAAGCAAAAGATCCTGCTTTTCGAGAAGTACGTCTATCTTTATTTAGTTTATAACATTTTGTAATAAATAATTTCTAGTTTCCGATGTTAAAATCGTATGGTGTACATTCAGCCACTTCATCTTAACTAAACTAGTTTCACTCTTTCCTAAGTAGTCTCGTTATACTTTAATGCATCAAATGCACACCTAGTATGAGTGCATTGACGGCCGTATTTCCAGTTGAATCTTTGTTTATTCCATTACGACAGGTAAGCACATCTCAATAACTTTCCGCTTTTGATTGCGTATAGACAATCGACAGAATAATAGTTGGTGAAACAAAAAAATCTGATTTTATTACCATCAGGTTCCTGATTCTAACAAGGATTTGACTGTTAGACAAACAAATGAAATGGTACGTGGTTGTTACCCTAAACTTATATAATCCAGCCTAGTGATAAGTGATTAAGATATTGAATTTTTACGTGTATTTATGCTATTACTCCATGGACTGCGTGGGATTCATGAAGACTGGATCATTCGTGTTACTGGACTTCATGAAATAAGGTATTTCTTGATATACCTATGTATGAAAAACAAAAACCTATTCGGAAGTTAAAGAAAATATTGCTAATCGGAATTAAGTGATGCCTGTCGATCGTTAAATACCCACCAAAAACTTCGGACATCACACCAAAAATATATTTCTGTTAGGATAGACTTGTAAATCCCTAAAGACAATTAAATCAAAACAATCAACTGGGCAAAAAGTGGTTTTCATATCTGATTTCCGACATTTGGGAACAGTTAAGGCGAAAACAAGTGACAGTAATATGAAAATATAATATCACTAGGACGATGACCCCCTCACGTATTCCTAAGTTAAGAATTGGTTGGTCCTTTTTAATTGAGCTTAAATCAATTCTTACCATACACCTGTCGAATTCATTTTTTGCTTGGCTATTATATGTAGCATACCAATGTAGCTAATAATTGTTATATTTTACTCCTGTGCCTATCTTCTTGCTTAGCTGTATTGTATGCGTCGCTTATTTTTGTACATACCTAAATATTGCGAGTAGGACGGTAGTTGACTATCCACAGAGTATGCTTATTCACTCTATCACTTTGTTAATTTGATTGCTTGGAATATACGTATCCGCAAATCATCCGTAATTCGTCTTTTCATATACCATCGTTCTAAACTTGTTAAGTCGGCACTTCACGAAGTTAAGGAATATGTATATATATTACTAGCATGATTGTTCGTCAGCCAATGGAGTTAACTTGTGACTATAAACTCTGACATCTGAAGTTTCCAACCACTGATTTCTCGTAACCATGAAACGAAAATCCTATACTTTTCAATATATTTCAAACCTAAAGTCGTATATATAATAAGCTCATTCTATCTTGATTTGATTTTCCTCAAGTGTAACTGACATCTTGCATCAAAATGACAGTGTAGTTAGGTGAATGCTAAGTTATCTCAGCTAATCCACGATCAATTTTTTTGTGAAATTTATTTTATCTGTAATGCCTACTCCAACATGACTCACATGTTGATTCAGCGTAATTAAATGTATTTTCTTGCTGTTAACATTCTTGAGTTAACATCATCTACATCTGGTTTTTCAGGGGTGGACCTTATACCAGAAGACACGCTTGCTAACTTAGAGTATGTTGATGACATAGTTCTATTCGGTGAAGACGCTGACAAAATGTGGATTCTTATGACTATCCTAAGCAACAATGCAAGCATGTTCGGGATGCGATTCTCCCTCTCGAAATGCAAAATGTTGCTTCAAGATTGGCTAGTGATAGCGAATGAAATAGTTGAGCGCATCGACCGCCTCACATATCTCGGGAATCTCATCAGTCCTAATGGCCTGGTGTGTGACGAAATCTCAGCACTGATACAGTAGGCTTGACTGGCTTTCGCCAACTTGCGTCACTTGTAGCGCAGGCGAGACATCCGTCTATTAACCGAATGATGAGTCTACTGCACAGCAGTTTGCTCCATCCTACCATACGGGTGTGAAACATAGCCATTAAGAGTAGAAGGCATTCGTAGGTTATTAGTATTCCATTATAGATGTCTTCGGGGCACTTCTGGTTTATCCCGGGACAACCGAGTAAGCAATGCTGTTGTTAGGAAACGAGTGCTTGGTAGGGATGGCAAATCAATAGATGAAGTATTGAAACTTCATCAGTTGAGGTGGTCGGGACATGTGTTACGTATGCCTTACCACCGACTACTTCGATGAGCTATGATTTGTGGTGTTCGTTTAGGTCGGAAGAAAGCTAGGGACGGCCAAACCAAAACGTGGCAGAAAACCATGAAGGCACTGACAAGTGGACTGAGTCATGTTGGTAGATGTGGGTTACTTGGTTGGGGTCTGCGAGACGAAAGTCACCGATGGTCAGACGTTTTGAACGACATGGCTCAAAATCGTTTGTAATGGCACATGTGCATCCATTCTTTGCCTTCTCTCAAACCCTAGTCTTCTGAAATGCTCATCACCTTTATCTTACCCTTTATAAGCTAATTTCAATGAATTATACTTCTTGAATAATGTCTTCTTATCCAAATCTTTTCGATTACCGTTAACACTTCTGCCACGTCTACTAATTTGGGATTTGAACTGACAGTTGCGTCTCTGTGCTAATATAGTATGAAAACCTGAACTGATGTACTTACCTATGAAGTTCTACGTTGTAGCTGACTGACTATACTGTTCCGTTAAATTAATTGTTCTCAAGCAGTAATTACATTTCACATTATTTATTTCTTTATAGTTAATTAGGCTGTTAACTCGAGTAACTTTGTTAATACCTATGAACTCAGTATTATATAAGTAGCTTTTTATCTATGATTGCTCACTGCTTGCTATGCTAGTACTTACTCTCTGTATATTTCTTTTCCGTGAGTTTACTAGAGAAATACTTTTATTTTCCAGTGGTCAGAAGCGGATAGAGACAACTTAGTGCGTGCCGTGATTCGATATCCTGGAGGTGTTCCTGGAAGATGGGAGCGTATCGCAGAATCTTTGGGTCGTAGTGTACCTGATGTTATTCGAAAAGCGAAATCTATGAGTAAAGAGTTGATGTCTATTTCTCAAAAAAGTAGGCATTATGTGTGTACTCTCTTTTGTCGATAAATTTTCACTTGTAATACTTATACTATTGCCTTTTTCTTTAATTCTATAGGGAAGTTTACACAAACAATTCTGTAAATAAATTAGGTTGATGCTCTTGGTCGTATTGTTTAGTTGTATTCAATGTATTAAAAATAATTATTATAATAATTAACACCATATTATTGCACAATGGGTTTTGTATTCTAGCTGTTATTATATCGTCTTTGCTAACTAATATCTCACTTTATATTTGAGTATCATGTGGAACTGATTGCTGTGCCGAATTCGACTTTTCAAAAAATCAATTACTTTTTGATTGATTCACTAGTTAATTCTGACTGATACATCTAATCTATAGCGCCTAATTATGTAGTGTTGAGTAAAGTTAAGTCTCTGGATTAATGTTGAGGCTTTATTATTATTTTTATTTACGCCTGTTACCCCCAATGGAGCATAGGCAGCCGACCAATATTCTCCGACCTACTCTGTCCTGGGCGACCCTTTCGACTTCAATCCAATTTTTGTCCATTTTTCTCATGCCTTTCTCCGCTTCTTGGCGTAATGTGTTCCCTGGTCTTCCTCTTTTCTTTCTTGAAGGTTCCAAGTGAAGGGCTTGTCTTGCGACGCAGTTGGGTGGTTTCCGCAATGTGTGTCCTATCCCAATCCGGCTCTTCTTCTTGATTTATTCCTCCGCTGAAATCTGTTTTGTTTTCTCCCACAGTAGCTGTTGTTTTGCCGATCCGCGCCCTCACATCTGCATCGCATCGACCTTGATTGTCGATGATGCTACCAAGATATGTAAAGATTTTTACGTCTTCCAAAGCATCTCCATCAAGAGTGATTTGGTTGACTCAGGTTGCGCTGTATCAGATAATCTTGCTTTTCCCTTTATGTATGTTGAGACCTGAGGCTGCTGCCACACTGGTCATCTTCTCTTGCATTTGTTGTTGCGTGTGAGATAGAAGAGCTAGGTCATCTGAGAAGTGCAGATGATCCATCTGCATCCCGGCTGTGCATTTGATACCGTGCTTCCCTCCAGATGTTGACGTTTTCATAATCCAGTCGATCACCAGAAGAAAGGGAAAAGTGAGAGTAAGCAACCTTGCCTGACACCGGTCTTCACCTCAAACGAGTCTGTCATCTGTTCCCCGTGCACTATTTTGTAGTTTAATCCATCATAAGAATTTCGTATGATGTTGACTATCTTCTCAGGCACGTCATAGTGTAGAAGAAGCCTGCATAGTGTAGTCCTATCTACGCTATCAAGTGCTTTCTCTTAGTCAATGAGGTTGATGTAGAATGGTGAGTTCCATTCAGTTGATTATTCCACACTGATCTGTAATGTTGCAATTTGGTCAGTACACGATCGATCCTTACGAAATCCAGCCTGTTAATTCTCAAGTTGGGCGTTTATGAAGTCCTTCATTCTGTTTAACAACACTTTGTTGAAGACATTGTCTGGTAATGGGAGAAGAGTCTCTGTATTTCTCACACTTGCTGAGATCGCCTTTCTTTGGTGTTTTGATCAAGTATCCTTCCTCATCCCAAATTTTATTGAAGAGGATGTGAAATATTTTTGCAGTTACTTCCACATCTGCTTTCATTGCCTCTGCTAGAATTTTGTGTCGTCCTGCCACTCTTGATTTGTTTAATGGCCATGTTGATCTCCTCAATTGTAGGTGCGCCAATAATAATTGGGAGATCCGTGTATGCTGCTTCGATGTTCGGTGGGTTCAGTGGAGCTGGTCGATTCAAGAGTTCCTTAAAGTGTTCTACCCACCTATTTCGCTGTTCTTCAGTGTTGCTGACTACCTCGCCTTCCTTGATTTTCACTGGTCTTTCTGGTTTACGATAGTTTCCGGAGAGCTTCTTTGTTGTTTCGTACAATTGTCTCTTCTCTTGCAGCCTTTTCCGCCGTCATTGCTAGATATTCCACGTATTTTCGTTTGTCAGCTCTGATGTTCCTCTTCACTTCCCTGTTTGCTTCAGCTTGTGCCTTAACTTTTTCTGCTCTGGTACAGTTGGTTATATTAATGAATGTTTCTGTTAAACCAATAGGATTGTTTTCATGAAAGTGGATTCACTACAAGTTCAACAACAATCTTAGTCGTCCAAACAAAATAATTCTACCAGTTTCCTGAACGAAAGTGAGAACTCTCGAAATTGTATGTTAGCTGGGAATTTTACAAGACTACCAACAGAGGTCCAATCCTTGTGATGGTACTTCTTGTGACCCATAACTTCGTGAGATGTTGAAGTGATTGCCTTTTTGATCCCTTTCCAATTGCTCTCCATGGCTGTTTCCTCTCCATTGAGTAGATCGTGCTAGTCCTGGAACCTATTACTGAGGGTTATCTTGAATTCGTTGAGTTTTACGGTATCCCGAAGAAAGGCCATATTAAACTTCTGTGATGTTGTCCTCCCCGTTTTCCAGTGCTTATCGAGTTTCAATTTCATTTTGGCGACCAGCGAGTGGTGATCTGAGGTCATATCAGCTCCTCTCTTGGTTCTCACATCCTCCATAGTCCTTCTGAACTTCTTATTGACACAGATATGATCAGTTTGGTTCTGAGTAGCGTGATCCGGCCACATCCATGTTGCTTTTTTATGCGTTTATGTGGGAATATTGTGCTGCCGATGATTCGTTTGTTGAAGGCACTTAGGTTTGCTAATCTTTCACCATGTTCGTTCCTTTCTCCCAGTCCATATCGTTCCACTATGTCTTCATATCCAGTGTTGTCCATGCCAACCTTGGTATCTAGGTCTCCCGTTAGAATCGTCAAATCCTTTGATGAGCTGCTGTCGACGATTGATTGCAGCCTCTCGTCGTCATAGTAGTCGTTAGTAGGTGCGTAGCATTGGATGACGTTCCTTGTAATGTCCTCTTTGTTTTGAAGGATGCTTTAATGATCCTGTGTCCATGAGATTTCCACCTTATCCAGTGCCTTTTGTTCTTGTTTGGACAGCATCATTGCGACTCCTTGTGTGTGAGAAATTTTCTTCTTCATGACTGGAGTATAACAGAAGCTCTCCTAAAGCTGGTCTCAGTAGTCCAACCTGCGTCCAATGTGCTAGAGCTTACTGATATTTATCTTCAAAGACGTCATTTCCATAATGCCTGATTTTCACCATTCTGTAGTTTGATATTTTCGAAATTCATTGAATTCACTAACCAAAGTACAGTTCAGTGGAAAAAATTTATCCAACGATCGTTGGTTCTATGTGCATGGCTGTTATAACTAAGCTGTACTTTTTCATTAATTGATATCTGAAAGATAAAAAATTATGGTGTTCTTTAATTTGCTTGGTTTTGAAACGACAGTCAGAGTTAATTTATATATTGAAACTTCAGGTCATTTGTACTACTTTATTTGCATTTGGAGTCGAAATTATTTTATCCATCAGTTGAAAACTATGGAAAACAAATTAGTGCATAATATAAATATATAGGACCTTGTATGATCACAGTCAACCCATAACCATTCCATGTACTCAGTTATCTTTTCCCTTCACGTAAATAACACTATTCGGTACTTAACTATGAAATTATAAATATAATTTAATGTTCATCTAGGCTGTGAGAGCTTAAAGATATTTGTTAGCTCCAACGATTCTACTAGTATCTGATCACTGGGCTTTCTAATCCGGAATATATACATCATTCTGTCAAATACAGATAGGATATCCTGCTCGTGATGAGGCTTGATTGCATCACCTATCACTTCAGACATCATAATACTATTCACTATGCTACTTTAATAGTATTGCTTTCTGACATCGTCAACATTTTAAACTTTTAATCATAAATTTATCAGAAGTGTGATTTCATGACCCATCCAGATGGTGTGCTACAATAGTGATTAGTCAGCCTTTTTCTTTGCAATTGCTTGTAGATTTTGTCCTATTTTTCTAAGCTTTCACTAAAGCCAAATAAGTCACTTCAAACACCCAACTTCTTTTCTTATCTGTGAAATAATTCTATTTTCAACGACAAATAATTTAGTGAATTACTCGCAGAAATGGGACAATTTTCTTTGAGCTGTCTATTTTTCACTTTTGCCAATAATTAATTTGAAAGTTTTTAATAGCGTGAGCTTACTTTATGAAATGCAACGTAAAGCGGGCATGTGAGACACTTCGTCATTGTATTTTCCAAGATATATGTATCGCTTATTCTTCTGATCCGCAAAGGCTTATACTATGTTATTCTTTTAGTCCAACGGTTGCCGACATTATGATAAAGGTTGAAAGCATTATTTTCAAGTATAGTTACTATTTTTCTACAACGTTTCGATCATCAACCAATGTCCCACGGTGATTTACCTAGCTATTCACCAATTTAGTCAGTCAGTCAGATGCAACGTAGAACTTCGTACGTAAGTACATCAGTTCATGTCCCCATACCACATCAGCATAGAGATGTAATTTTCAATTCAAATCCAATAGTAGAAGAGGTAGTAAGGGTATTAGAAGTAATCGGAGAGGTTAGGATTAGAAGATATTATTCAAGAAGTATGATTCAGTGAGAAAAGTTTAGAAAGTCAAAAGTAGAGGGGTTGAAGAATTCAGAAGATTAGGATTTGAGAGAACACAGAGAATAAATGCACTGGAGCCATTGCAAACGATTTTGAGCCATGTCATTCAAGGTCTCTAACCATCGATTATTATCATCTCGCGGACCATAACCAGGTAGTCGACAATTACCGACATGGCTAAGTCCACTCGTCAATGATTTCATGGATTTCTGCCATGTTTTGGTCTGACCGCCCCTAACTTTCTTCCAACCTACTGCTACACTACAAAACAAAGCTCGACGAGGGAGTCGGTGGTTAGGCATACGCAGCACATGTCCCAACCACCTCAACTGATGAAGTTTCACCACTTCATCTATTGATCTGTCATTCTTACCTAGCACCCGTTTCCTAACGACAGCGTTGTTCACTCGTGTGTCCCACGATATACGAGCAATGCTTCTTAAACATCTATGATCGAATACTAGTAACCTACGAACGTCTTCTACTCTCACTGGCCATGTTTCACAGCCATAAATTAAGACGGAGCGAACTACTGTGCATTACTCACCAATTTACTATAACAATTTAGTGCTACCACACATAATGTACTTTTTTTATTATTTTGGAATTCTACATGGTTATATGAAAGCAAACTTTTTAAAAAGAAATTCAGAAGATACTCCAATATTATGTACAGATGTTTCCTGTATTTTGCTTTTAGCAGTTACATTGAAACAAATCATGAGAAATTATATTTTCATTCGTAATGTATCTCAAGCATCCTCATCATTAAACAATTTCATCATATTTGTTATGTTATTATACAGATATAAATGTTGATGAAATTCCAACTTTTGAAACGAATGTAAATAATTTTTGTGGTGAAACTGATTCTGAACAATGTGACAGTAAATCGGACGAATCAGACGAAGAACAACATAAAAAGAAACGAACTCAGAAACGTTTATTAAGACGAAAAGAACCATTTGTTACCAATCAAACAAGTGAGGAAAATCAACTGAATACGAATGATGACTTGTCCTCGGGTAAGTTTTCATTATATGCAGGTTAAGTAGTCGTTGAATTACTTCGATTTCAAAATGAAATTCTTTTTTATTAATCATTTGAGTGTACACAACCACTTACAATCACCTTCATTTTCAGGAACTTAGTAAACATTTTTATGTACTTTTTAATCGAAAGATAGTCTATATGTACTAAAATCACTTATAGAGAACTACAGGAAATGACAAAAATGTCATTGAATAGCCATTTCTCTAGAGCATGAAATTCTGTTAAAAGTGCTCACTTTAAATACGTAAAATCTTCAATTTTTTTTCTATATGGAATTCATCACTAGTCAGTTTGATTTGTTTTGTTCATTTTTACTACCTCTACTACTCTGGGACTTGCTCCAAAGAATTCATTTCAAGACGCCCATCGGGTATGGCAACTTGAACCGATGTCTATACATGTCAGGTTATACGTTACTCTGGTACGGCCAAGGGTAGAAAGAGTCCGTTCTTCCTATCAAAATGCTCTCATGTGACCATGCGTGCATAATGCACATGGGCTCCAAGATCCCTAGGAAACAAATGTTGTATGAACTTGTTGTTAATCACCAGCTATCATGGGACTACATCTGACGTTGTCCCACTGCCTTCTGGACTAGGCTTCTTTGTCAAAAGCTCGGCAAGTGGCTCCCTAAGAAAACCGCCTGCTTCGGTTTGGATACCTGAACAGTATCGTAACTCACTCACGGCTAGAAAAATTTATGTTCATTTCAATTATCACTCACATTGTACTCACAATCATTTGATAAGATTCATTTTTATTTCACATTACGTCACTCGTTTATTTCTTCACTTCCATTTTGTGCATTCCTTATTCGTTAATTCCTACAGCAGATCACCTACGGTATAAATCTTTTCCTATCTATCTAAACGATCTCAAGTCACTAACTGGTCGAACTTTGAATGCTACCATGAAACACGAATTCTGAATCAACATTTCTGAAACGATATATGCCATTCAAACTGGCCTCCTTCAACGTTCGTACACTTACGCAGATCGGACAACAGATAGGGTTGACTCTGTACTTAGAAAGTCTGAACATCGATGTCTGTTGTATACCTGTATTTAAGACTTTAGTGTCGTACTAAATATTTACTCTCCATCTATCACTTCGAGAAGCTTGTTTAACGTGCATTTACCTGAAGACCCTGTGGCATCTTCGTCCTGTCTAGCTAGCTTTAGTGTCACACTAAGCACTAGTGCTGAGGCAGCACTAATCGATTGAATCGTCATTAACAACCGACTATGTGTTGTTAGATTGGAAGGCTCCTTTGAAGTGAGGAATCTGTGAGAAACGATGCTTTTTTATTATCTCCACCTACATCCCAGCAGATTATAGTCAAGGATAAGTTCAACCACCAATCAAATTTTTCTTCTTCAGAAATTCCGTTTGACAGATATCGTAGTAGTAGACCTTAATGCTCAGGTTAAGCGTTTGAGCACACAGAAGAGTTGTCTAGGTGACTGATGGAAACTTGTTGGTAGCAGGTCAGATAATAGTGACCGTCTTCTACAACTCCAGGTTAGCACTAACTACCGTCAAAATCATCTCTGATGTACTACCTGGTATTTTGTCTCTACATCCCAGGCCTGGACCCAGATTAGTCACATCTCGATAAGCTATCTCTAGTGTGGTTGTGTACAAGACTACTAATCCTGGAGTACTTACCTGGGTTGTGATCATACCTTTGTTTGCAATAATCCGATTTTACGTCTTTATGGTTAACAAATTCGTCGTTAGAACACCGCCATACTTGCAACAGGTCAACAACAATTGTTCGCATCTTAGTTCCACCTTTCTTTATTTCTTGACAGTTCTATTTTTATTGTGTAATGCTCTTTTGTACCAATGTTTAGGTATTTAAATAAAAAAATATGAGTTTGACTGACTAGCGAGTTCATTGATGATGACGTTTTCATCAGTTATGCTAAATTATATGGAATCCGATTCATGCCAGCAACAAACCTGACGTAATTCAAATGAAATATTTTACCATGAGGAAACAGACCTACGGATTTGTTCACCTTGAAAATGATAGAATTACAGTAGTCTTACATTTTTCCTTTCAACTGACATGGGCTTTCAATGAAACTCAGGATATGGATTCCGTTCTATCCTGAACTTATCAGTTTGATGAATTTGCACTTTAGTAATTTATATTGTTCATTCTACGGTTCGAAATCACCGTACATCTCTTCAGACATGTTGTTATAAACTACACTGAAATGAGTTACGTTAGAATTCTCTCATATATCCAGCATTCTCCATTGTTGTTGTATTCGTGTTTCATGTTATTATTATTATCCACTCAATGTTGTGTTTACGAATAGTTATTACACATAATTTGGTTTGTTTTTATTGAAGAATACTCTCTTCAAATTTTGACTTATGTCTCTATAATGTAACGGCAAGTATTTATGTAATTCTTTGTACCAGTCAATCAGCTACAACTTAGAACTTGATATATATGTACATCAGTTCATGTTGCCATACCATATTAACACACACAGATCGAATTTTCAATTTAAATCCCGCGCAGTAGGACGGAGCGAACTGCTGTGCAGTAAACTCGTCCTATGGTTAATATACGGATATCTCGCCTACTCCACAGGCGACGCAAGTTGGCAACAGCCAGTCGAGCCTTTTGTTTCCGTGTTGAGATTTCGTCACACGCCAGGTCATCAGGACTGATGAGACCCCGAAGATAAGTGAAGCGATTAACACGCTCAACTACTTTACTCCCTGTCAATAATTAATTTTTTAATTCGTGAATTTTAACTATTTGCATGACATTTTTAAAATGTTCTAATTCCGTTGGTCAGACTAATTTGTTATTAATTTTAGATGTCGTCATAGTTGACGAACCGTATATTAGCCGGAAGAAACTTAAACAACAGAAAGATGAAGCAGCATCCAAATCTGCAGAACCTAAACTTATCAAAAGTAATGATGGGTGGACTAAAGTAGAACAGCAACAGTTGGAAATCGCTATACGCTCCATTGGTAAAGGGACTCCTGAGCGGTGGGATCGTATCACAGAATGTATCCCAACAAGAACGAAGGTATGTTAGTAGTATAGCGTACGTTACTTTCGGATTTTCTCTTACTATTAAATTTTCAGTGTTTCAAGAGAGAACGTTTTGAAAATTGCTCCATTAGTCCTTCAAAATTTAATATCCACTATTCATCAGTACATTCACTGTAAGAGCTTATCTTAGTAACACTGGAACTACCTCACTGTCACAAAATGTTTTGGTGAAATCGGGTCAGACATTTTTATAAGTAAATATATTATTGATACATCTTAATTGTGCGAATAAAATCTTCCTGTTTCCATTATTTGATTTGAATACTGTGAGTACCACAATCCCCCTTTTTATACATTAGATAGAAATGATGAGGAATTCAGAAGGTTAGAATTTGAGAGAACACAATGAATGAATGTACCTGCGCCATTGCAAACGATTCTGAGCCATGTCTTTTAAGGTCTCTAACCATCCGTGACTTTCGCCTCGCAGACCCCAACCAGGTAGCCTACATCTGTCAACGTGACTTGAGGCAACTTGAAATGATATCCAAAAAATGTGGAATAAGCAGTGATATCTGCTGGTAAGTTATACCAAAAGGTGAGGGAGAAACATTGGATTTTAGTAGCATCTACCGAATTAATAGATGCTCGGAAACTCATCCCATCTGGCTCTAAACTTGACAAAGAGCGGAGTCAGCTGATAAGAAGCCAACGCAATGGACTCGAACAGTGGTGACTAGCAAAGCAAAAGAGATGGGAAAGGCAGCAGCGATACGTAACAGTAGACAGGTGTTAAGATTTATCTGGGAAACGTCTATCAGTGAGACTATCTCGGAAAAGGATGGGAATATTATTCATTCTCATTCCAGTAAATTGTATCGATGGTCAGAACATGTTAGAGAACATTTCAACTGGCCTTCAACTACACCTCGGTTACCCAAGATATCCAGTCAACCCGATTGGCAAATGAATGTAAATCCTCCCACTCTTATTAAAGTTGAGAAGGCTGTAGGAAGGCGGCTTAAACACAGACATCAAAAGCCTACCTAATGATCGTGAGCATTAGTGGACAGGGAAAGCAAAAGAATTGGCATTGATGTGTAACAGTAGACTACTGTTCAGACTCATCACGGGAACTGGTATTAGGAATCCCACTGTAAGCGAGGCCTTACCGGAAAAAGATTGGACTATACTTTAGCAACATCCAAATTACCCACCATCTCCAAACAACCTGAATGGTGGGTTGGCGTGAGTCCTCTGACTTCTAATGAGGCTGAAAAGGCTGTAGGCAATCTAAGGTAAGGAAGAGTAGCAGTCCCTGATAGAATAACCTCTGAGATTTTTAAGTATGGTGCTCCAGTTTTAGCTGTTAGATTGACCGAAATCTTAGCTGGAATCTGGGAACTGAACGTAATCTCATCTGACTGGCCTCAACCATTGATTGTCTCAGTCTGTAAGGAAGGATAAAAAACCTCTTGTGACAATCACAGAAGAAACAGTCGAGCAAATATTATCTATAATAATAATTCAACGCCTAACTAGAGTTTGAGAAGAACAGACTCGAGAAAGCCAGGCTGGCTTCAGACCAGTGCGTGGATGTGTGGACTGAATATTCTCACTTCGATCTGTCCTAGAACATAGACACACATTTCGTCGTCCCACAATAACTGTGTTCCTCGACCTTAAAGTGGCGTTTGACTCTACTGACCATGAGGTTCTGTGACAGTGTCTGATTTCCTCACGACCTTTCTCTCTTTGAGTTTATATCATTGGATTAAGCTTCTCGAATCATATGTTCGGTCCCTAATCTTTTCGATTACCGTTGATACTGCTTCTCTCTATCTCTATGGGATTCTGAACCGATGACAAATGAAAAGCAAGGAAATCAGTCACATCCGTTAGTTCGGCTGACTACTAGATAAACTGAGAAACCACAAGAACAAGTTGATAGCTCTGTTTAATACTAAGAAATATCCGAAAAATTTCGAAAATCTGGTATTGTATCAGAAACGACACCATATACTATTAGTGCACAAAACCCTCTACAGACTGAAGTTCAAACTGCATCATCAAAAGTAAAGTTTACTGAATGTTTTTGATGCAACACTCAATAGTTGAAAGTAACTTTCTTTTTTCGCAAACCTTGCGACTTTGACATATTAATCGGGGATTTTTCCGTGGATAATCTTAGAAGTTCCATCGTATATGCTGGTGTAAAACAATTCAACTTTAATAAAACAATTAACTTCATACAAACATATGTTATGTTATGTTATTTGATATGCTTACTATAATCCTAAAATCAATTCTAGTGTTTCTCATTACTTAATAGCCAAAATATTTAATCGGAACGGATTATGTTATTCTTGATTTCAAAAATGTCATTCACTTTTTAACAATTAGTGTATTAACCTAATAACAATCCACTATAGTGATTGTTTCACTTAATTATCCAATAATCACAATAATAAACTTTGTAAATCTGTGGTCAAGCTTAGTATATCCAAAGAAATTATTGATTCCAGTACACTTTAAAGTTGATTTATCGGATTTTTATTTTTATCTCTACAGTACAGTGGTTGGCTCTTTTTATTTCCGGAAAATTTGTGCTTACATTTGTTAGTTCTTTTATATGTAATCACCTGACCGCTTTTTGTAATGAGATATAGCTCTGTTAACAGTAGTGTTGCATCACTTCACATATTCGTACATTTACTTACTATGTTGAAACCTGATTAGTTTGAAGATAGAATATAAGTATCGACCAAGCCAATAAATCGCATATTTTCTCCACATTACTAGCCAGAATCTATTGATCAAGTTTAGACAACAATTTTTTATTTTGATATGAATGGCTAGATTAGTATAAGTTGAAGCTTAAAGGCTTTATAAATTGTGATAGTCATAGTTTTACAATGTTTACTTCTGGTTTTTATCAACCTCGAGAATTATCAAACGGGTCTTCCGAAATACGCCTGTAGAACGATAGATTTCTGAACAATATGTACCAACTTTTTTTGTATATCTTGCATTGATTTAGATATATGGTCAGTATATCTTTCATGTCCTAACTATCGAATAAAGATATCAGTTACCTACTACGTAACAACAGCAATGCATGTTTAAAAGGTAGTTATATTGGCAAAACATAATATCAAATAACAGACCATGAAAAGTAATTGAATTCAGGTCCGTGTATTAAATTTTATTACAAACTTTGTTGTATTAAGAATGATGTTTACTTGACTGTCATACATTGTCTGGTTTTTGTGTGAGGTGTTCAAGGAACGCTGTACCTATTCACTACTTTTGTAATAAAGTTATTTCATTTTTTCAGTAAGTGTTGATAGAAAGCTATCGAAACAAGCATCATAGTTTTGAAAATTTTCTAGTGGCCTCATAGACCTCATCTGTATGTATGTGATAAAGGTAAACAAAACATACATGTCAAACATATTATCATCAACACTTCAAATGGCAGTTCTTTGAAACCTTTTGCACAAATAATTTAAAATAAGAATAACAATCTAAACATAATATAATTATTTGATACTAATTTCATATTCTGACATAACAAAACCTCTCAATCAATAGGTGGTTAAAGCAATTTACATTGTTCAGCAGTCCTCAAGGCATAATAGAAGTATATGTAATATTATGAAGAATAAGTAATAATTCTTATGTAGTCAAAATTTGATTTTAGCGCAAAGAAATTTCATGGTAAATACATTGATTAATCTCCCATATGAGGTTGGAATTGTCAAATTAGAATTGCTCTAAATTTACATTTCAAGTAGGTATGCAGTAGTTTAAATGATTTATATTATGTTGATTCCCAGCTTATACTTAACTTTTTATCTCTAATTTTATTTCTTTAGGTAGAAGTGATGGCTCATGTGAAGTATTTGTCAACCCTTGTTCAACAAAAACAGTGAACTATCCTTTATTATGGATTGAATGCTTTGGACATAAGCTTATAAAACGCCTACGTATCGGACTGTGATCGTCATACTTTAATTGTGTAATATGATCTTTGTACTTATAGTAGAATTGTAAATTATATTTTGGAAGAATTTGTATTCAGTGATACTTGTTCTTAATTAAAACATAAATTCCCACCCGTTACTTAAATGTCACCGTTACTGTGAAATTAAGATGAGATTACAGGAAAGATAAGTCAAATCTTGTGTACTGTATACCAAATACAGTTCATAATAATAATACTTTAGGATGCGTACCAAAAATATCGTATTGAATCTTAAAACTTATTTTTCACAATACTTTTTTGTATGACATATATATATATATGTATATATATATATAACTTGTTTCTGTCTAGAAAATTTTTCTTTCTCTTCACATTTTTCACCAAATGCTATTTGGATCCAGAAAAACTATTGACTGAAATAACAGACAATACCTGTATTTATTTAAAATTGGGCCTGAACTGTTAAATGGCCTTAAAGTAAACTACTCTAGTCACGGGCATTGTATAAGACAGCTTAATTTTGATGCGTTAATAACAAAAGCATGATCAAAATCTAGACGTCGCATTTATGCATTTAGTAATCTAATTTGATACATTTCAGCTAAGCTTCAAATGCGACTACAAGACACAAAGATGGATCAAGAAGAAAAGTAGTGGGTTTCGAAATTCATGCATGTTATGCAATCTCTTCCTAAGTCGTCAAAAACCAGTTGCTCTAATATTTAATTATGGTCCAGCCTAGTCTGCGGGACTACTTGTTATTAAAAGGGACTCAGCTGTGTGGTAGCAACAAGGACATAGTGTATCTATTCAAAATATCACGAAAAGTCTAAAGTTTCACGCAAAAACAGTAGACTATTTTCTCGGTTTATTCAAGTTGCTTTAACGACCTAGTTTAGGGAGTCATATTACGCTGTAGATACTCAGTAAGTGTTGCGTCAGTTAAATCGTCCGCATTAGCCTTATTAATTTTTGGTCAAAAATTCATGTGTAGTTGTAGTTGCCTTCTATGCTCTGAAGTACTCGAATGAACGTTTGAGTAATGTACATTTGGTTATTTTGTGTTTTAATGGTGAAATACGGTTGATCCTTCCTGGCTTGGTTTTGTGGTCCGTTTGAGATGTACTATCCCACAACTTATTTTACACCGCTGACAGTATACGCGTCAATATTGTCCGAATTGTCAAGCCGTAAAATGTATCTTAGGAGTTATACATTATTAACATTGACCGTTTATTACTATGATCGCTCGCTGAAGGAGTCAGTGGTCGGGCATTCGTGGCACATGTACCAACAACCTTAATTGATGAAGGTTCAATACTTCATCTACTGATCAGCCATCCTTACCTAGTACTCCTCTGTTAACAACAGCATTGCTTACTCGATTGTCCCAGGATATACAGAAATACAACTACAGTGGGGCGCTGAAATGCGCGTCTATGTTCCAGGACCTGACGAAGTATGAATATCTGGTCTGTACATCTACGTCAAAGTCTGAACTCTGTTTTTCTCCAGTCTGCTCTTCACGAGCACTAGTTAGGCTTCTAAGTATTATCGAGGCTTATATTTTAGACATTGATTCCTGTTTTCTCTGTCATTGTCACAAGAGGATTTTGTCCTTTCATATAGACTGGGACAGTTAGTGATTGAGACCAGCCGAATGGGATTACGCCGAGTTCCCAAATGCTTCCTAAGATCTCCGTTAATCCAACTGCTAAGAATAGATCACTGTCCTTAAAAATCTCAGTGGTTAACCTATCAGGGCGTGCTGCTCTCCCTTGTGAGGATTTACATCAATATGCCACTCGGGTTGACTGGAGATCTTAGGTAACCGAGGTGTAGTTGAAGGTCAGTTGAGATGTTCCCTAACATATTCGGACCATCGATCCAATTTACTGGAATGAGAATGAATAATAGATGAGCTTTCTAAATATTTATCGAAGAATATTCTTTTATTGGTACTCGATTCGTGTGTCCTTGCTTTTCGAGTATGTAAATTATGAATATAGCATAATACAAGTGAAACGATCCATCAGTGATGGTATTTAAATGTGCTTTAGTCAAGTATGATTGATTTAGGCCTGGATTATCAAATAAAGTACATTGAGATGATACAAAATCTCTTTATTCTGAATAAAAGAACAAGTGATCACAGATAACAGGATGTGTGAACTTTCGTTTTTAGTTACCTCAGCAAATAGGTATTTATGTTGAGAATACTTAAGAGCTACCATGTAACTACAGCAAATCATGTGCTAAACATTAGACAAGTTTGATGTATGCAGTAAATATTCAATGCGCTGCTAGAATACTAAGTTTTATTACTGTTACTCATTTCTCTTTCGTGGTCTAAATTACCGTGTATCGTACCTACTTTCAGCATTTTTTCCTGTTTTACTCCAGCTGGAAGCTGATATGTTCTCTACCACAGCTAATTACTGCCATTGGTCTTTTGCCAACGGATCTTGAATATCGTACACAAACACCTGTGCATAAATATCTTCACTTTCTGACGATGATTCTTCGAGATTCAACACCGTACAGTAGTAGAAGAACGACGGTTTCACTGAAAATTCTGGCTCTGGTGTTGATCGACAGTTGTTTTCAGCTTCAGATGTCTTTCACTTGTAGTATTGCTGACCTTGTCTTGCTAATCTGTACCTTCATATCTATATTAGGTCCTTTATCTTTATCAGTGATGACATTCAGGTAGTTTGAAGTTCCTAGACGTTCCCCATTAAGTGTGATGTATATAAGGGTCTGTTTTTTCCTTTTCAACGTTAAGGCCTACAACTCTGCCCGGAACACTCCTAGGGTTACTGCCAGTTCCAGGAGGATTGAGTATAGGTTAACAACCTGACTCTATACAAAACGGACTTGCTAAGAGCCTCCTGACCAGAAACAATCATTTCAACCACTTGATCTCTGCCGTAGGGGATTTATGATGCTTCATGTTGAAAGCCGAGTTTCTTCAGAAGTTACAAACTCGATGCTGCTTTCGACAATCAGAGAAACAAACAACAAAGGTCAACATATCGCACACGTTGTGTGAAAGCTTGAGTGTTTACATAGCATTGTATCTGAGATTTTTCTATTCTAACTTAATAAAATGCTAACCGGAAACATTCGGTCGCTCGTCTCTAAACAGTTTTGTTGAGGATTTCTAAAGAACAGTCCCTAGATGGTGATCTATCAAACCTTTAGGATCAGACACCCTTTGCAAAACTAACTGTCTGTGGTTGTCATTCTTACATATTGCGTTCAAACAGATAGACGCAGAGGTTTCAACAAGCAGATACTAACAGGATATTGTTCAGAAGTGCACTTCCATAGTAATCAGAAAAAAATGTGAGCAGCCCTATCATCTGCGTTCGCATATATATTCCAGCCAAGCCGAGCTATACTCGTTCTGGTTCTTCAGTTGTTTTCCGAACGAAATTGAAATTCATTAATGGTCCCTGAATCATTTAGTGATTTGCTGACTCTCTATTTATTATGTTAGCATTTGCGCACAAATACTATGATGTATTATTTCTAGGTGCTTCATAAACAGAATATCATAAATGCATTATACAATCGTGTTATTGATATGAAATCGTTACTAAGCTATTTCCTCATGTTCCTGGATAAGAATTTTTTGATTTGCTTGGAGTGTAACAGTCAGTGATGAAAGTCCACTTCAGTAAAGTAAGAAACTTTGGCGATACATTAGTCCTGCACTGATTTATGTCTAAAAGCGTGAACATACCTTACAACACTCAGTGACAGCACAAGTTGGTGCTGCATGTGTGTCTGTGGCACATTCACCGGGTTAAAGAAACTAGATACGCCGTTGTAAAACTACTTCCAGAACTCACTAAATCCCGAGACACTTTTACGGTACACCGAATATTAAGACTAACCTTAGAAACTATCAACAAACCATGAATATATTGTAACCCAATTGCCATTCATACAGGAATCGCGAAATGATAGGCACATTCCCCTACTCCTGCTAGCAACCCCGTCACACTCCTACCCCTAAACTTCGAAAATTCCTTAGTATTTAAATTCACATCAGTATCTTATCTTCCACAGCACTTTTAGTTTTTAGTTTAAGTAGAGAGACAAACGGAAAAGCCTGTAGTTGCTGCTTGACTACTGTCGATCCAAGGAACCCAAACTTCATGTACCGTCGTCAGTTCCTTCTTGTTCATCTGTTAACAGTTTTTAATAAGTTTTTATTCCCCCAACTCATTAACATCCAAACATCCTACTTTCTTACCTGTTTATTGCCATACTCAATAATATTTTATAACTACTTTCCCTGGTTTTCTTTCGTCCGCTGTCTATTCTTCCAATCTCAAAACTACTTATTAACTGACCTATATCTTACAATTTATACCGTTAGTTAATTATATATCAGAGTGATATGCTACGTGGATATTTAGTCCAAGACATAGAAGCTAAAGTTGTCTGGTTTGCGTAGCTAGGTGCAAAAGTGCATTCCGACAAGGTGTGCAAAATTTAGAGCTTAAACTGAAATATTAATAAAAACCTATCGCTAAACTTCAGAGAGCCTAGCATCACAAAATAAGGGGGGATAGTTTTTCTGACCAGCATTCATGAAGGTGGGGCGATAACCTCAATCTACCAATATCTGTGTAGCAGAACATTTTGCTTTCTTACGGCTTCTTACTTTTAACAGGATGTAACTGACGAATGATATTTGAGTGACTTTTTCAAATCGACCACGTCTACGACTCACCTTTGTAGCCTTGCATTGGTTTCACTTCCTACCAAGCAATCCTACTACAAGCAGATCTGGACAAATTATGGTGAAAAAGAACTCATTCGTGACTTCTTGAACCACAGTGATAAAAAGAAAAGGAATAGATAAAATATTACAAATGCATCAGATCAATGTGCTTCATCACTACATTCTGTAAATCAACCTACTCTCCGAAAATTTAGTCCTTCTGAATTTCCTCTATTCATACGACAATACCGAAGGTCCCGGTTTCGAATCCTGCGAGGAACAGGAGTCGTGGATGCGCACTGCTGATGAGTCCCATACCAGGACGAAACGGCCGTCCAGTGCTTCCAGTTTTCTAATGGTGTTCTAACACTGGTGGTTCGTCGTTACGTAACTGTCGTAACTCGCATCAACTGTCGTATTGTACATCACCGAGTCCGAAACATTATCTATAATTTTATGTTGAAAATTTTAGCTATCTATATGAAGCCAGTGTATCTTGTGAAATGTCTACGTAACTGGACAACTTTTTACATAAAATATGTTAGCAATTTTACCATTTTTATCCTGCCTGTAAATTGGTATACCTCTTGTAACACGTTGTTATTCGAGAATATATTATTATTATTATTATTATTATTATTATTATTATGTTCTAACTGCTGCTCGTACTGATCACGGCTTTTTGTACCTGACTCGTATTATGGGAGACAGTTTAAGTGAGATTCTCTGAAATGTTAGAAGTGTTTATTTGGCAATCTGTTCTGAGTTTAAAACTGCTCTCAATGCAGGAGGTTTATCCTCACCTACATCCTGACCCTTAAATATATAGCATAGTTTGTTCGGGGTGCTGCTTATTTTAAGCCTTGCTTAGTATCTACCCCACTGTTAGGTATCGAAGACAGCCCTCATTTTCCGTTAGCTCGTCTCCGACGTTGAAATTCTAAACAAAGTTAGTGAATTTCGTTTATCATTCCTGAACCATTTGTGCCTGATTCATGTCCTGGGACTTATTGTTGTTATTATCGCCCCCTTCTCAGATCACTTACTTAATCTGTCTGGCGTTTTATCTCTGCTTACTCTACCTCACTTACACTTCAATCCTCTCCCACAGTTTTCGATGCCAACTAGTTAAACTACTTATCCATTTATTTGTTTTGTTATTAAATTTTCAATGACCGCAGAATTTTCTCTTTATCATTCTCCACATTGCAAATAACTGATCCTCTGCCTAGTAACTTGATAGCTGTTAGTGTCCAGGAACGCTACTGCCGTGAAACAAACATTCTTTTTCAGATCGCGGGACACAGAATTCACAAAAACTGCCAACTGACAAAAATTAGTGCAGTCAGGTGGCTAGACTAACATCCAGCGGACACTACCAAATGCCTGGAATCCTTCCGAAAGGACAGGAATCGAGCGCTCCCAAATCAATTGGTTTATACGAGCTCGTGAAAAAGATACTAGATGTTGGATATAACATTTTGATCTCTCCAATACCCCAGTGATTCTAAATAAATCTCATAAATTTTCACTTCTTAGTAACGAACCAAATTATAGTAATAATATTTTCTAATGATCCGGCAAGTTCATATTTATTTCATAGGTAATATCAGTATATTGCAGCAACGATGGGAACTTAGATTTTACTCGTTTGCCTTCCCAGAATTTTCGCCAACATCTCGTGAAACTTTTAGGTTTGTGCGATGAATTGCGAACCGTCACTCTGTTCTCGTCTCGTAACACCTAATCGAGAATGCTTAATTCTAATGAAGCCAGAATTCACGAATGGAGGTCAAGGGTATATCTGAATAATGGTTGGGATATCATAAGGTGATTGACACAACCTGCTTAGTTGTTGTGAGAAGAGTGCATTACAAGAAGGAACTAATGGTGGTCTAGTGAGGAAGCATGAAGGAGCGCATTCAGCAAGATTATATCCAGTAAATTAATGAAGTCAGAATAATTACCGAAGACTTGCTGAACTTTGAATATTGAGGTGTATTTAACTCTACATTATGAGGCAACGACTTCAGACAACAACACAAGTTGCTCCTTAAAGAAATGAGTATTTAGTACATTTTCTAAGTTCTGTGAAGAGAGAGATCAAACCTAAATTAGTCATTACTATAACCAAGAATGTTCTCCTATTACGAGAATTCAGGTAAGAAATAAACTGCTTACATAGCCTATAGAAGATTGAAAATCTAATGTCGAAAACCACATAATTTCACGCTATTTAAAAAAAGAACAACGGCTTAACATTATTTGATTTTAACTGCATAATGCATAGTGATCAAACTAATACCTTGTTGCGGACCAAAAATTCATCAATATCAAAAGGGGCTAAAGTTATTTCAAAAGGGTACATAGGACAATAAATAAAACCAAGCAAAACACACAAAAATATTCGGTAAAGACACTTAGTTTTGCATCCAGATTCGTGTTCAAGTTTTCTATGCCTCTCAATTAATTGCAGTAAAAAGTAACTAATACTAATTGATTTGATGCGCAAGTTCGGGAGGAATCAATAACCGGAGATCGTGGATAGAAATTAATCAGGAATTTTAAGACCGATAACTTCAAAAAAAAAGAAACTGAGTGCGAAATAAGTTCATCTTAACCACCTTAGCACCACGAGTGTCTAGTGGTAGCATTGGTACGAAAAATACTGGGTAAAAAAGAGAATATACCTAAAAAAATTATGTTTACAGTACAAAGCATTATTTTACAAGAATTTTACACAAAAATAAATCAGCATGTCTATGCTTAAAAAATAACCCCATGTTAACCATCTTCGGAAACTTGGACATAGTATATACTTTCAAGGTAAACTTTGCCTCCTTAAATATAACATGCGTTACATCCAACTTAGGTTCTATACATATGCAATTATCTGAGATCGTAGCAATTGATTACTCCATATTAAACTGTCTGGTGTCAATAGGTACTCAGTCCAGGGAGAAATTTCAAATGAATGATGCAGTTAAAAGTAGCCAATTTTATTACCTATGAAACTACAGGTAATGCACTCTCGTAAGACTCAGATGAAGTTCAGAAACAGCAAATCCAAAATACCCAGGTAGGATTTATTGCTTTTAGATGTATTTTCGGAGTTAGTATCTTTTATATTCCTTGATATGCTTACAATGTATACACTATTTTCGACCTTTGAGCAATGTCTAGCATTTGGACATTATCCGGTTATGTTACGACAGATATATCAGTCTTCAGTACAGTTTCAACATGGCACTGTCTTAGCTAACATTTATGGTTGTCTTGGTATCTTCCACTATATCAATAAAGGACATCCGTAGTAAAATGTTTTACATTCATGCAACACGTACATCTTTTTATATGTTAAATCATAGTTATTTACTCTTGTTTTTGCTATCCTATTTGCTCCAGTAGCCGAAAGTAGTTTTTCTCTAGATGAGATCTTATGTAAACACCCAAAACGTTATCGAGTAGTTCTTGCGTGGGACTAATTCAAGATTTGAGAAGAAATTTCAAAGCAGTATACTTTATTGGCTACAGGTTACCATTGGGAGGATCCATAGAATACTAAATACACTAGTGTCTAGATCCTTTTCTGTGATTGTAAATGAAATACTGGTATTTCCTATTAAGTGCGACGTGGATGCATCACTACTACTTACCATTAACATCGTGTGTTTATTGGTATTGATCCAGTCTTATAACCAATTGAGTTGTTCTCGAAAAATTGCAATGTCATAGGTATCTCTTATCCGCCTCCAAACCTTGAGATCGTCTGCGTATAGCTTAGTCTGGAAATTCGGGTCAAAAAGTTGGCCACCAATCGACAATAAGAAAAAAAGCATCCCACACATTGGGTCTTGTGGTCTTCTTACTGCAGATCACTCAGACAAGGCGGAACAAACTCGAACGGGTTATAATTCCCTCTGTAGGTAGTACAAAAGCTACTTCACCAGATAAACCAGCAATATCAGTTGTAGATATCTTCCCTCAATACCCCTAACTCCCTGAGTGATCTCATAACTATTGTCATTGTTTTTCCGTACCATTTGCTTGCACCCATCTAAAGACTACGATGTTATATGCGAATTTCACCTAGACCATGTACTTTTACAATCATAGGACGAACACGTTTGTTAACTGCAATCCAGCTCTATTGCTATACGATATTCTCTTCTAAATATGGCAAATTCAACTGCAAGCCGATATTTTTGACCGATAAGTGAACCTAGTATGTTGAATTGGTGGTTACATGATCTGGTTACATCATTCTGATGGCTTAAATGAACGTTAACATGTTTCGTAAGATTTAAAAATAGTTGAGCCCCTTAGAAAACCATCATAGACAACTGTCCCTGTCATCCATGGATTCTTACTTATTGTACAAAAGTGTAATGATGACTAGCTATTCAGTACTTTTGTCTTTGTCAATCAGAAACAGATGTCTTATCGAGTTATAAGCAAGAGCTGTTGCGTTTGGTGAGTGATTATTTGGTAGGATTTCATCTCTATAAGTTGAGTCTGTTGCGGTACAGAAATCATGAAGATATATTACTGCAACAACCCTATTCTAATAATCATCCACCGATATATCCTGATGAGCGATACATGGACTAAAGTTGCTATGATTTGCAGTAATACAAGAAAATGTCAAAAACTAAAATATATTACAATAAGAAGTAAAAATTTAAACCAATAATGGCAAATAAATAATGTGATCTTTAGACTGAGTAATGAAAAGCGAGTGTACAACATCGTGGTCGGTTCTGGGCTATCCCTGACTCAACGCCACACAGTGTTTTGATTTTAAAAGAATGACTGTACGGACCACTCACTTTTGTTGTCGAACCTTTCTCCCGTATCTCTTGTCAGTTTTGAAAAGTTTAGAAACGATCGAAATATTGAAAAAAACTAAGTGGTTTGTAAACATAATTAATGTAAGCTTCAAAATACCAACGATAATATTTTATAGATACGTTTAAATGGCTTTCTGGAACAAATTACTTGGTTTTCTCTGTTAATCACTTCATATTTATCCACTATTCATAACTGAATTGAATGTAAAATATACTCATGGCCTAACACTCCCCGCAATCGGTTGCATTCCTTAACTCTTAAATTTTTGACATGTCTGTTTCGCACTTGCTTCCCTCAACTCCTTACTTTCATGTTTTCTGCCATCGTCATTATTTTTGTCATTGAAATTTCGATATATTGAATCAGTAATCGATCACCCATTTGTCATGCTGCTGGCTTTCAGGTAGGATTAAAGGTGTTACTTGACTGTTCATTCTGAAGTAATCAGATTACCGCGTGAATATTATGGTCTAGTATTTAAGGGTTTTTCAACTTTTCGCTTACAATTTCGAATATCCTTAACTGGTAAAAACATATAGGCATGGGTAAGATTTTCTCAGTGATTTATGTTTTTTCTTCGTAATTATATGAGAGTGGTACTCGGGACTTTGACCCAGCAAATGAGGAACAAGCCCCTGAACTATAAGGGCAATAGCTTAGTAGTCAAAGCACTCGGTTTTGTGTCAACCAGAAAGCATCAATAGCCATTACTCAATACATTTAACCGAAATCAGAGTAAACAAACATATACTTCACTTATGGCTTGAATTAAAAAAGTAAACACTTATTCATAAGTCAGCACAACGGGTGATTACAGTCAAATTAATGTAGTTAAAGCTCAAAAAATTAGTGTTTTGAGTAAATATGTTCGGATGAGGCTTATATAAATATGCAGTTGGTAATACAAAGTACGTTACATAGAGGTTTCTATTTCCAAGTTACTGAAATACAAAGTGAGAGTTTTCATGTTTTCAAAAATCTAAACCTCAAAATAACAAACACTATCTTCCTAGGTTCAGCAGTCTTTGAAATCATCAGGTCTAATCCAAATTTGAGTTTCCATAAACGAAATCATAAAATTTATCTATTATTTATTCTGTCCATCTGTTAAATATTGACTAAAACATGGTATTCTCTCACAAAGTAGTCTTTGAAGTCTTTCTGATAAATTGTTTTTATCTGGCCTTCTTTTCAGTCCCCCATGCTTTCAAATGAATCTTTCACTACATGAAAATTTGTAGCAGTAATGAACAAAACTACACTAAACCGATCTTTACTTGTTTTCTGCCATTGTTCACCCATTAATCGTTGCCCATACTCCAGTTCTGTTTGCGTATCCTCAACGGGATGTTTTCATTCTTTGCATTTGGATTTATCACTAACATATGTGGATGATGAGTCGTATGGGTGCTTTTCGAATACTACAAATCAAGTTGATTTACTCTGCCGAAATTCAAAAGTTGGTAGGCAACTGTTATATTGTTGTTCTCCGAGTGATGGAGACTTATGCAACCGGAACTCGAGTTTGCTTGGATTAATCAGTCCTGTGCAAATGAATGCTTATGGTTCTACATGGAAACCTATTTTGAAAGCAGTGTTGTTCCCTACCTTTGCACTACTTTGTGGACTTTTAGCGATCATGCTGTTTTGGAAGTGTTTTTTGAAAAAACGAATCGAAAATTACGATCGCTATGTTAATGAACTCAGTTGTAAACGTCCGAGCTTCACTACAGATATCTACAACTATCTAATAAAACTCAATGAAGAACGGTTTTCCGACCATAAATTATCGTCTTATATCTCGCCCAGAATAGATAACCTTCCTTCTAAAAATGTGCATAATCCTGATCCTTCATGTGAGCTTATTAGTTGCACCAGTGGGAGCGGAAGCGGTCTTCCATTCCTTGTTCAGAGGACTGTAGCCCGTCATATTAGATTAACAATGTGCATAGGAAAAGGACGATTTGGTGAAGTTTGGACAGCTACATGTCAAGGTGAAACGGTTGCTGTTAAAATTTTTTCCAGTCGTGATGAAGCCAGCTGGGCTCGTGAAACAGAAGTTTACAATACTGGCTTATTGTGTCATCCTAATCTTCTCGCCTATTATGCTAGTGATATGATATCAAGAGGTGGGTGCACTCAGCTCTGGTTAATTACAGCATATCACGCTAATGGATCATTACACGATTTCATCAGTCATAGATCACTGAAACTACAGGATGGTTTGCGTCTGGCCAGCTCCATCGCAGCAGGTTTGGCGTTCTTGCATACAGAAATAAAGGGATTACATGCTAAGCCTTCTATTGCGCACCGTGATCTCAAATCAAAGAACGTCCTTGTTATGGATGATATGACTGCATGTATAGCTGACTTGGGTCTTGCCCTTGTAAATTTACAGAGTTTACCAATTGGACAAACACTTCTCAACTTATCTTCCTCAATGGTATCTAGTGGTGTTATGTCTAGTGGTGTGACTCAGTCAGATAGATTGTGCAGTGGGTTTTCAGGTCCTTCTTCTTTAGGTCCTCCTCCTGCCGGACCCAGAGTTGGTACCAAACGGTACATGGCACCGGAGTTACTCATGGCTGTCGATATAACGCACGCATCAACCAACTGTTCCAACAATATGTCGTGCATAACTAATGAAAGTGTTGATAATCCTAATTGGTGTCACTATTTACCTTTTGAAGTCTATCAAGCTGCAGACATTTATGCAATGTCTTTGGTGTTTTGGGAATTAGCACGCTGTACTCACGGAACAACATCTGAATTTGTTGAAGGATATCAGGTGTGTAAATCAGTTTTTGCAAGCTTAAACGTGTATTTACCATTAACCAAAGCATTTTTTCATATTTATCGCACTAATGCAAAAGTTGTATATTATAAACTAGTTCAGTAGCAAGTATATAGATTTCAGGCCACGAGTATGGTCATAGTAAGGTGTTCTGAATATAAATATTTTCGCTCGAATGCAAAACGTTAAGAAGCACCAAATATGTTAAAGTGATTACGATTCCCTAGGATTTGAGAGAATGGTCGCTACCGATTAATCAAGAGATTTACTTTTTTAAATAATAAAATATCTGTCACCAAAAGGATCATACCGATCTATTTCGTTCTATGTGATTCCTATTCTTGTAGATACCAATTTTTATCTTTTCATTTTTCTGTATACGGTATCATAAGTTTGACCATTGCTTTAGGCATAGTTCTTAAGACTGATTTCGATAAAATTTATTTTACGAAAATCTATGGAATTTGTAAAGATTTGTGAAACCTAGGGATTCGAACCCAATAATTAGGCATCTAGTATCTTTTAATTTAGTTGTGTAACCTTCATTAGGGTTCATATTCTAAGGAAATATCATGGACTTTTACAAGTTTAGTTACCTGATGCCCTGAACATCATTAAGATGCTTAAAACTTAGGTACACCAAACACTATTGAAAAAATGTATCTGACTGTAAAACCAGGATGTTGAGATACATTACGTTAATAATCCATATATCAATGGATGATTGTATAAATTGCATAACTAAAGGTACTTGTAAGCTGTGCAGCAAATTTTTAGGAAGTCACTTGTGTTTCTTGCATCCTACACTGCATCATGTTTACACTTGCAAGTAGACATTTGTTGTATATAAGGAGCTAAATGTGGGTTGGTAAATTTTAATTAAGTTCGGTAAATTAATTATTTAAGATGCATAAAATTTTTCCACTCCAGTCAATAACAACCTGACAACATTTAATTGCAATCTCTGTAAATCTCCTGGTTCCTTATATCCTATGATTATCTCAAATTCAAACTTTTCTACAGATACCGTTTTACGATATGGTTCCCTCTGATCCAACCTTCTCACAGATGAGAGATGTTGTTTGTGGTAATAGTTTAACCATAAGCGATGATCGACCGAGCCAGTCCAACAAAAATATCACAAATTCAAAATCCTCCAAGACAAGTCCAGATTACGACGATCTTCAGTGTAGACCTCGTATTTATCAGCGTTGGTTAGATGATACCTACTTGTCCCGCTATGCACAAGTGATACAGGAATGTTGGCATGATGATTGGTCTGTGCGTCTTCCTGCTCTTCGCGTCCGGAAACGTTTGGAACAAATCGAAAATGCGGTTAGGCAGTCATCGATCAGAAAAAGAGGAGAGAACATTCCTTCTAATGTAAATGAGTTGTCAGTACTCTTGACTGGCGACATGGAAGCTTTGGCTTGACAGTAATATTCTAATTTTTTAGAATTTGTCCTTGAAATGTGCATTTAATTCCCATGTTGTAACTTCCTAAATATTGCCATTTTATAGCTAATTTAATAATGTAAATGCTTTTTTATTTTGTCGTTGATCAAGAAAGATACTAAGGTCTACGTCCTGCTAAAAATTACGCTCAAGAGAATTTTGACGGTGCCAAACTTGGCACAATATAACAGTAGCTACTAACTTGATTTTAGAAAACATTTTAACTGTTATATGAAACACTATATATATGTAAATAGACTAAAGTGGGATCTATCTTATTACCCTCCGATAAATGGATCAAATAGAGTCATGAGATTTCACCGAGATACCAAAGGTTAAATACATCGTATTTTTGCATGGTTTGATTGCTGAATATTACAGACATAAAACTATGCGGTAACAAATTAGACGCCACCATAGCTTAGATCTTGAAAAGCATTCCACCCATTATTGTTATTAGTTCCCTTTATAAATCTGGCCAAACCAAGGACGTTGACGTTTGAATCATGCTATTGATCGAAATAGCAAAATGTCTGTGGGCGTTATATGTCAACTCTTAACCCTAAACACCAATAACCTAAATTTTTGTAGGTAGAGTAAATGAAACCAGTATGGTCATTCAAATTACATTTATTTTTGTAGTGTTCGTTCAGCTGTCCGTTGTTTATTTCTTTACAAATGGGTTTGCCAACGAAATACACCAGCAGTTATTAAACTTCGTAAAACTTAGTTCTATAAAACGATTAAATAGAACGAAATGTACTGACATGCACATGAAAAACAGTAGAAGGATAACGTTACGTTGCATACCAGTATGAATTGGTAATCTTCAGATTTAACGCATGAAAGTAACCAGTCTTAACTTGTAGAGCATAACTACGAAATTAATCTCGGTAAGTTGTTTTCCGACCTCGTCTGTTGCTAGGATAAACCTTTTGATATCAGGGGAGAGCAAATTGGGTCCGGTTAACAGGTCTCACCAAGTGCGTTCAATAAATCCCACTTGCTTACTGCTTCGTATTGTTAGTAAGCGATCATACTAAACTATGTCTCGCTCTTAATTCTTGGTCTTAATTATCCAGTCTGATCTAATGTCCAGTGTTGGGTGACAAAAAATTATGTTTTGTCCATTGTAACAAATTTTAATACCATTCGTTTACTCTATCCTTCTATTGATGAACTTAAGACCTCGAATCACGTTGTAGACCGATAAATGAAATGTCTTTCACTGCACTCAATGGATTCCTACGAAAACTGAACAACAGACATTTATACCTTAGGATCATGAAGAGTCCGTTCAGAGTGGCTTTTCGTTTCCATAATATACTTGGATTAGGTTAGCTTTCGTGTCAGTCAGTCAGTTACAACGTAGAACTTCGTACGTAAGTACATCAGTTCAGGTTACCAAACCACATTAGCACAGAGACGCAATTGTCAATTCAAATCCCATAGTAGAAGAATTACTGCTAATGGAGATCAGGATTTGAAGATAATATTCAAGAAGTATAATTCAATGAGATAAATTTAGAAGGAGAAAAATAGAGATTATGAAGAATGCAGAAGCTTATAATTTCATAGAACACAAAGAGTGGACGCACCTGAGCCACTGCAAACGATCTTGAGCCATGTCATTCAAGGTCTCTAACCACCAGTGACTTTCGTCTCGCGGACCCCAACCAGGTAGCCTACATCTACCAACATGACTCAGTCCGCTTGTCAGTGACTTCATGGATTTGTGCCATGTTTTGGTCTGGCCGCCCCTAACTTTCTTCCAACCTGCTCCTGTCGGTGATTGGGCATTCGTAACACATGTCCCAACCACCTCAACTGATGAAGTTTTAATACTTCATCAATTGATCTGCCAACCCTACCTAGTACTCGCTTCTTAATGGTAGCATTACTTACTGGGACACCCGAGTAATGCTTCTAAGATGTCCATGATCGAAGACTAGTAACCTACGAACATCTACTCTTAACGAATGCTAGCAATCTATAAATACCCCCACCGGTAGCTGATGGAAATATGATCTAGTTGGGTTCAACGTTGAGACGACTTTTCAGGTTGCCAGGTCAAAAGATGCTTCCCATTATGCCTAAAGTTAGTGTTTGCTAGAAATAGGCATTTATCTGAACACAGTTGCAGCAGACGGTCGCAATTATCTGTTCTCTGAGCCGCGACACCATAAGATCCACCCAGATGTCTTTCATTTTCACCAAGTCTACCTACATGAGCATTAAAGTCACCAGCCATTATTACTATATCAGAGTGCCTAACTTTTTGGAGGAGGCCTGAAAGCTTTCTGTAAAACTCATCTTTCACATCGTCTGAACTGCAGTCAGTGGGGGCATAGGCAGATGCGACGAAGAGGCAACGACGGGTGTCCCTATATTTCCGAGTCCTTACTGCCCCGTTCAGTCGGATAGCGCACAAGCGACTACCTACTGGGATCCACTCTAGGAGAGATAGTTCAGCACTACGACTCAATGCTATACCTATGCCAGCGAGGCCACGGGAAGCAGCATCAGGACTTCCAGATACACAAACAGTAAATCGAGTTGCTTCTTTATAGTTCAGCACTACGACCCTATTTGACACAATGTCCGTACATTAAATGCTCCAACATGTGGTTTAGGACGAGGTTTCAGGAATAACGTTTTGGGAACTCGAATCGTTTGCAGCAGAGGTGCGGGGTGATAAAGGAATGTGAGAAGAGTTAGTCGTGAAGATAAGAGAGATATTAGGGGGTGTAGGAAGGACTTGATTGTGACCGATTCGATCTCGTGTGCTTTCATGGGAATAAGGGCGGCTGCCCACACCGTGGAAGGGTGTTTCTTGAAGAACCTGAAGAGGAAGGTAGACTAGTATCGGTCTTAGAGACATGTCGGTTGATTTAGGCTCTGGTTGGGGCACGCGGGACGAAGGTAACCGGTTGCTAGAGACCTTGAGTGGCATGAGTCAGAATCGTTGGCAATGGCGCAGGCGCATCCACTCTTCGTGTTAACCCTAATTATAACCTTCTGAATTATTCATAATCTCTGTCTTTCTCCTAAATTTATCTCACTAAATTGTACTTTTCGAATCATATCTTCGCTCCCTAATCTCCATTACTGGTAATAGTTCCACTATCGATATCACTCTTGAATTTGAACTGACAGTTTCGTCTCTGTGCTGACGTGGTGTGGCGACCTGAAAAGATTAGGGATCGAACATATGATTCGAGAAGCTTAATCCAGTGATATAAACTCTAAGAGACGAAGGTCGTGAGGAAATCAGACTGTCACAGAACCTCACGGTTGGTAGAGTCAAACGCCACTTTAAGGTAGAGGAACACATTTATTGTGGGACGTCGAAATGTGTGTCTATGTTCTAGAACAGATCGAAGTGAGATTACTCGATCCACAAACGGGTCTGAAGCCAGCCTGGCTTTCTCGAGTCTGTTCTTCTCAGACTCTAGTTAGGCGTTGAATTATTATTATGAGTAATATTTGCTCGACTGTTTCCTCCGTGATGGTCACAAGAGGTTTTTTATCCTTCCTTACAGACTGAGACAATCAATGGTTGAGACCAGCCAGATGAGATTATGTTCAGTTCCCAGATTCCAGTTAACCTAACTGATAAAACTGGAGCATCAGACCTAAAAATCTCAGGGATTTTTCTGTTAGGGTCTAGGTTGTTAACGAAAGACAGACAGTATTGTAGTTTGGTACAGCATACTTCGACAACACTCTTACAGGAATGGATATATTAACGACTGACAAGGAATTCCAAACGATATGACTTGTAGTATCAATCCAGACTTGATCAAGTGCAAAGTATAGATGACCACTACTCAGTTAGTCCGCAACAACGTAGAACTCCGTACGTAGGTACATTAGTTCAATTTGCGACGCCATATTAGCGAAGAGATGTAATTGTCAATTCAAACCCCATAGTAGTAAAGGTGGAAGTACCAGGAGTAATTGAAGAGATCAGGGTTCGAAGAAACCACTCGAGTAGAATCTAGTGGAAAAAACGTAGGGAAAAGCTGATATGGAACTCCAAAGATTAGGATTTGAGGGAACACAATGAATGCACCAGCACTATTGCAAGCGGTTTCGAATCATGGCATTTAAGGAATATAACCATCGACTACTATCTCGCACAAGCAAGTAGTTTACATCCACTAATATGACTGTCTATTTGTCAGTGACTCCATGAATACGTGCCATATTTCAGTTTGTAAGCCCCTAGCTCCTTTCCAACAAATCCCTACACCACAAAACATAGATTGTCGACGTAGTCATTGGCTGGACATTCGTTATACATGTGCATATTTACCTGCCACCCGTGCACTAACGACAGCATTGCTTATTCGGCTTTCCCAGGATAAACGAGCAATGCCTCGGAGACACCTATGATCGAAAACTAGCAACCTACGAATATTGTCTACAATGATTGGCCATGTTTCATAGCCTCAAAGATGGAGAGAACAGCTGCGCAGTACAATCGTCCTAAGGTTAGCAAATAGATAGCCCGCCTACGCAAAGACGATCAATCCTTCTGTATCCGTGCTGAGATTTGGTCAGTCACCAGGCCATCGGTATTGATGAGACCCCCGAGATAAATGAATCGGTCAACATGCTCAGCAGCTTCACTACCTATAACTCATTCAGGTTCCGAAACAAGCCAATCCTGAAGCAAAATTTTGCATTCCGACGGGGAGAATCCCATCTCGAATATGCTTGCATTGTTGCTTAGGGTAGTCAGGCGACACTGCATTTTACCAGTGTCTTCACCAAGTAGAACTATGTCAACTAGTGAAACTCCTGAAAATATCAGACGGAGATAGTAACTGTAAAAGAATAACTAGTGTCATGGTAAATAATTAAGTTCTGACGTCAAGGCTGGGTTATGTGAAATTCCTTAGTAAAATACAGAAAGTCGGACCAATATTTTATTGTAACATACAACTATTCAGCAGCGGCGATCTCTTTTTGTAGTTGGAAAAGATAATGTGCTTTCTTCTGTCGAACACGTTGCTTCCTTTGTTTAGAAGACAATTTTTTACAATTAAACCTCTTCGGTTGGACTTCCTTCTGTTCTTTGGAAATATGTGAAGGATCCGCTCGGATTGCTGCATGAGCTGAGAGATACATAGATTCAATTTTATCAGCAGTGATTCCATGTTTTATGTACCCACTAAACTGACGCTGATAATCAGTTTCGCTCTCCTCTTGAAGTTGTTTCATGTATTCGGCAACATGGTGACCCAGTATTCGGGCTCGATGAACTTCAGCGTTGTATTCCTTAGATTCCGGGTTGTACCCTGGAAATCTGCTGGGTGAGTAAGGTATATCTAGACCACCATCAACGGCTCCCTTAAGGGCGCCGAAAATATTGGCACCAGATGAGGTCCTTGCGAGGCCAACGTCAAGATGACACCTAAAAGCAGACTTTTGTCCATCAATAGATTCCACATGATATTCTTGTCCATCAACCTTTTCAGCTCCAGCATACAAGGTGTCCAAGCCCAATTGCTTCAGCACACGTCTAGCACACAACAGGCCAGTACAGTAGGCAGCAGAATAATTAGTCAACCCCACCTTAACACCATATCGAGGTAGTTCGTGAGCATAGGCGGAGCATAACACTCGATCCCCATCAATACGTGCATAAATTATCTAATTAACTTAAGTAAGTAAAGTCAATTACTAACCTGACAGATTATATCCTTATTAGTAAAACGAACTACTAATCGGTATTTAGGTGTGTTATATTTGTTTTTGTCTTGCCAGATCAGCCGTTTGCGAGCGTAGTAGTCAGTTTTCCCCTCTGGATAATGAGGCATGTGATACATTTAAATCATATCTTACCTCTTCGCCTTTTGAACTTGACTTGATATCGTTTAAAATAAGCCTTATTCTTAACTAGCTTTACTATAGCCTGAGGGATAATAAGGGTAAACGCAACTCACCATGCCTTCAACTATACGCGCTCAACTGTTTGTGGTACGTACTTGAGACATTCTAACAACATCCAAATGCTGTGGATAACTTTGAAAGTTCTGTAGATATGAAGCAGAGGAATAACTTCGTTTTTCACTTTCAAAGTGTAGGTTCACAAGTAAACAAAAGTAAAAAGTGATAAAAAAGAGACGTTATGTAAACCACCTCTAGGAAAGTCCGTCATCCCTTAACACCCAACTCTATTCCTTCAAGACAACGAATTTATTCTGTTCAACTGCCAGAATCATCGATAGGTTAATTTTTTTTCAAAATACTTTCTTACCACTTTAGAACCTGAAAGAAGATAGATGTTCTACATTTTGTTTACTTACTGAGTCATCGGTCCGTGCAACCAAATGACTCCACTTATATGAAATAAAGTAAATCCCAGCCTGTTGACCTTATGAAACTTGAATAATGCCCTTCTCTTGAAATGAATGAAGTCGACCATCGAAATTAATATCTTTAATCATCACTGAAACTTAGGTTAGTTGTAATGAATTTTTTTAAGTTGACCAGTACACGTTATCTAGCTCTTTCCTGAAAGTGATTTTCACGTTTGTCAGAATTTAACTTTAAAGAAATTCATGTGTGTATTTTGAGCATCATTACCGTTTAGTGAAGCGATATTGGAGTGACCTATTAGAACTGTGTATGTTATAGGTACTATGCTACATGGAACTATGCGGAATACCGGTAGTCTTTTTGACGACTCTGAACTTGTTCAAGCAAACAAGTCATCTCCTTTGTACAAGATTACGTTACAAATAGCATTTTAGTTCGTTTAGTGCGTACCTAAGACATACTTGAGAAAAGTAGGGGTCAGAATAATTCCTTACTAACATCTATATTCTTCATGTCCGGGCAGTAGTAAATTTTCGCGGTTGGTTCAGGACGTTCGGAATGGAAACAACATCATCAAGTCCTTTTGTCAGCCTCCATATAGAAAATTAACTTGTATTTAGCAAAAATGAGACTGATCACCTAGAAGACCATTCGCGCATACTACTAGGAGAAGTGGTTTGGTAACTTATGCCTAAGTCTCTAGGGCTTACCTATAGAAAATTTCCGAAACAACTCCCTTAACTTTTAGGATCTGAGAGTTGGCATGCCCAAAGTTGCAAACGGGTAAGGCGTTTGGCCTCTAGAACCTTATCTGTTTTGAAATATAGATTAATGTTATTAGTGCTTAGCAGGAATCCACTCAGTCTATTCAATTGACAAAGGAAGTGACAAAAATAATGCAGACCCAGTTGTAAAAAAAACATAAAATGAGCCAATGAAGCTCAGTCTGGTTATTCAAGAATTCACAATTTTGGCTCTGGCAGATAAACAAGCGTAATTACATCGAAGTCAGATGAAATAAAAAAGCGGCCATCAGTAATTTATTTTGTTGGTTCATTTGCTAATAACATTTAACATTCTCCATGAAAAATCCACCATTTCTGCATCCTAGATTGTCATCAGAGTCATGAAATAATCAACTTTTAGCAGCAATTGTGGGATCGAAAAATTCCAGACAATTCCTTCAGGTTCAGGCCATGACTTCGTCACATGAACATTTACATCAAAGTCATAGATTACTTGCTTAAAAGTGGCTCCAGGCAATCAACACAAAGATCCATCAGATTTTTTCATAAGGCCAATTAATCTGTGTACAGATTTCTTCGGATCGTGTACTGTCTAATTTTTCATTGTGAAGGGAAGACCAGATAACTATACATGTTTATGCATACGGATTATGCTTTCTGCTACAGTCGAAGTATCCTCGTTCAAGTCCAAAATGAAATATAGTGTAACTGACTATACTTAATAGCCATACCAGGACTAGCAAGCGAAAAATGGTGCATCAACTCCGTAAATACCATTAACTGGTACAATGTTCGCTCATCGTTAACACATCTCTATAAATCTGAGCTCCTGCCATGAACTGCATACCCAGAAATAACACTATTGATGACCACTGCGACGGTGTGCGGATTGTGAGCCTGAAAGGGGTATGTCAGCATGATTAAACGGGATCTCTGGTATCGATGCCTCTGCTCACTTGATTTCTTCTAACACGATAGAATCTATGTTCTCTTTATAACCTCGGAGAATGAAATCATTATTTATTCCTGGAATTTCTTCTTAGTCTTTGAGAAGACTGTCCTCGGGCTGTGACTACAGATTATTCAAGGAACGCGTCATTTGTCAGTGATATAATTATATAATGTTGATAGTTATCAATATCCTACACTACTAGTCTTCCTGAAGCCATAGATTCCCTGCCCTGTTAGTTTATAATGGTAATATACCTAATTAACAATGGTTTACATGATTGATTTCAGTTTACTGGTAATAACGACCTAATACAAATTCTACCACATTTACCGTCATAAGCTAACCAGTCAAACGGATGTTTTTAGAGACATTATATTCATAGATGTAGAGTGATATTAAAGATGATGTTAGAGACTGGAATATGCGACATAAGGGTTGAACTGACTTAAGAAACTGTGTTGCGAAAAATGACTGGTGGCCGAGAATTAATGTACGTTAACTTCAGAGCTGCATATGGCTGGTAGTGAGGATATAAATGGACGTTCGTTTCCTTGATAAAATTCTCCAGATAATAGACTTAACAGGTTTCTGATGTCAGTAATCAGAGCTAAGGTTAAGTGATACATGCCACATATGTTTTGCGTGGTGTATTACGGTAGTAATGAAAAAAGGGAAAAGAGCTTCAGGTGAATTGATTCATACCCCAGAAAATGCATTTGTGATAAGAACGTTGTGTCAAAATCGATAAGCTGACCTGTGATCGGAACCATGAGTTATGTGCACTAAATCATCTTAGAAACTCGTTTTGTCCGTTTTTCTATTCCAATTATTCAGCTAGTGTATCAGTAAAAATGTTTTCACTTTCCTCCATGTCTGACTAATTGTAATTAGCTTTCTGAGGGAAGGCAGACACTCACACACCCGCTATTTTATTTTTATCATTTGAGAATACTTCACGTAATGAGTAATTCAGGTTTCAGATATGTTCACTGGTTTTTTGAGTGGATTGCTCATACGTGATCAACTAATCCATCTTAAACTTCATCAAGGAAATGGGTATGTTTGAATATTCATACACATGCTTCCCAGTCTTAACGCGAAACACATGCTGTAAGTTTCTCTCTAGACGTATTTAAGGGTTTTAAGGCCTCAACCCACATCTAATTTTAACCTCTTCCTACAAATATTCTGTCAAATCAATTTAACCAGCAGTACCATAGTGTTATATCTAACATCTAGTATCTTTTTCACGAGCTCGTATAAACCAATTGATTTGAGAGCGCTCGATTCCTGTCCTTTCGGAAGGGTTCCGGAGATTTGGTAGTGTCCACTGGATGTTAGTCTAGCCACCTGACTGCACTAATTTTTGTCAGTTGGCAGTTTTTGTGAATTCTGTGTCCCGCGATCTGAAAAAGAATGTTTGTTTCACGGCAGTAGCGTTCCTGGACACTAACAGCTATCAAGTTACTAGGCAGAGGATCAGTTATTTGCAATGTGGAGAATGATAAAGAGAAAATTCTGCGGTCATTGAAAATTTAATAACAAAACAAATAAATGGATAAGTAGTTTAACTAGTTGGCATCGAAAACTGTGGGAGAGGATTGAAGTGTAAGTGAGGTAGAGTAAGCAGAGATAAAACGCCAGACAGATTAAGTAAGTGATCTGAGAAGGGGGCGATAATAACAACAATAAGTCCCAGGACATGAATCAGGCACAAATGGTTCAGGAATGATAAACGAAATTCACTAACTTTGTTTAGAATTTCAACGTCGGAGACGAGCTAACGGAAAATGAGGGCTGTCTTCGATACCTAACAGTGGGGTAGATACTAAGCAAGGCTTAAAATAAGCAGTACCCCGAACAAACTATGCTATATATTTAAGGGTCAGGATGTAGGTGAGGGTAAACCTCCTGCATTGAGAGCAGTTTTAAACTCAGAACAGATTGCCAAATAAACACTTCTAACATTTCAGAGAATCTCACTTAAACTGTCTCCCATAATACGAGTCAGGTACAAAAAGCCGTGATCAGTACGAGCAGCAGTTAGAACATAATAATAATAATAATAATAATAATAATAATAATAATAATAATAATATATTCTCGAATAACAACGTGTTACAAGAGGTATACCAATTTACAGGCAGGATAAAAATGGTAAAATTGCTAACATATTTTATGTAAAAAGTTGTCCAGTTACGTAGACATTTCACAAGATACACTGGCTTCATATAGATAGCTAAAATTTTCAACATAAAATTATAGATAATGTTTCGGACTCGATGATGTACAATACGACAGTTGATGGGAGTTACGACAGTTACGTAACGACGAACCACCAGTGTTAGAACACCATTAGAAAACTGGAAGCACTGGACGGCCGTTTCGTCCTGGTATGGGACTCATCAGCAGTGCGCATCCACGACTCCTGTTCCTCGCAGGATTCGAAACCGGGACCTTCGGTATTGTCGTATGAATAGAGGAAATTCAGAAGGACTAAATTTTCGGAGAGTAGGTTGATTTACAGAATGTAGTGATGAAGCACATTGATCTGATGCATTTGTAATATTTTATCTATTCCTTTTCTTTTTATCACTGCGGTTCAAGAAGTCACGAATGAGTTCTTTTTCACCATAATTTGTCCAGATCTGCTTGTAGTAGGATTGCTTGGTAGGAAGTGAAACCAATGCAAGGCTACAAAGGTGAGTCGTAGACGTGGTCGATTTGAAAAAGTCACTCAAATATCATTCGTCAGTTACATCCTGTTAAAAGTAAGAAGCCGTAAGAAAGCAAAATGTTCTGCTACACAGATATTGGTAGATTGAGGTTATCGCCCCACCTTCATGAATGCTGGTCAGAAAAACTATCCCCCCTTATTTTGTGATGCTAGGCTCTCTGAAGTTTAGCGATAGGTTTTTATTAATATTTC